GGTGCGCGACGGGCAGGAAACCGCCACGCGTCCCGAGCGTATGGCGGGCAGAAAATCGCCGCACGCCCCGAGCGCACGGCGGGATGAAAAACGCCGCGCGCTCTGAGTGCGCGGCAGGAAGAAAGGGTCGCGCGCCCGGGGCGCGCGACAGCAGTAGAGCAGCGGAAGCATCGGGTGGGGCCCACCCACAGGATCGACCCAGGAGGGTCGACCTGCTCTGATAGCATGTCAGAACTAGCAGTCAGAAACAAGAATGAAGAAAGGAGGGTTTGTACTAGCAGCAGTTGGCATACATATAGGAAACCCTAATTGGGTTGTACTCGATATAGAGTACCCCACTGCAGGCTAGACAATAATAACATTCCGACAGTAGTGTCCAGTCCCTTTAATGTCTGGGGGTGCGAAAGGGTCAGTTGCGGAGGGTGAGGGTGCTGGGGCTGCTAGGCTGGTGGTTTCAGTTCTGGGGAGGCAAGGGGTGTGGGCGTGGAGGTCACTCTCGTGGAGGACATGGCAGCCTCGACTCGGTGGCCTCGCCCCGCGTCACCCCTTGGCTTCCCGTCCGTCCCGCAATTCCCTCCTCGTTCTTCTCTGCGGCAAGTTGCTGCAAAGCCTGGGGGTGTTCCTGCAGGAGGTATTGGAGGCCCCGGGGGTGTGGGTGGTGGAGGTGCTGGTTTTGGGGGTGCTGGAGCTGGAGGCACTGGCACTGTGGCGCCTACACCGCGCACTGTACGTTTCCTGACCCATTAGCAGTGTCTCCTCCTGTTGGAGAGGGAGGAGCGTGAGCGGTTTGAGAGGGCACAGCAGCAGCAGCAGCAGCAGAAGCAGCAGCTGGAGCAGGAGTAGTCTCAGTCGCAGCAGCTGGAGCAGGGGTAGTCTCAGTCGCAGCGGCAGGAGAGAGTAGAGGAGGAGCCACAGTAGTAGCATGAGAGAGCAGAGGAGGGGTCACGACTGTAGCAGCAGGTGCAGTTGCAGTCGTAGCAGGAGAGAGTAGAGGAGTGACGAGTGCAGTAGTGGGTGCAGCTGCAGTCATGACAGGAGAGAGTAGAGGAGGAGTCATGCCACACCAGGAGAGGGTAGAGCAGAAGTTCCTCCCGCAACAGCAGGTATAGTCACAGACACAACAGGAGAGAGTAAAGGAGGAGTCACGGCCGCAACAGGAGAGGGTAGCGCAGGAGTCCCGGTTGCAGCAGCGGGTTCAACTGCAGCCGCAGCAGGAGAGGGCAAAAGAGGAGCCACAGGAGCAGCATCAGGGGCAAATACCATCGCAGCACACGCCAGAGGAGGCGGAGCAGCAGCGAAACGACTGCCCGACCTGCTGGACCCAACACCTGCACGCTTGGTTCGTGGTCCCCTACTGTCCCCTCCTGTTCCCCCTGTCCAGTCCCTTTCCTCGTCCCAGTGGACTCGTCGTTTTCCCCTCAGTCGTGCTGTCTCTCTAGAGCCCCGTCGGTCTCGTTACTGTGCAGACGGCCCGTTTCACCTTGTTCTCTGCTTTTGTGTTCCACCTCCTTCAGTCTTCCACAGCCTCCTGAGTTGTCCCTCACTGTGCTTCACGACCCGTTGTCCGACTACCTCCGTGCCTCCCGTCTTGTCGTTGGTCACTCACCCGACTGCACCCCTGTCGTCTGTCTCAGCACTTGTTACCACTGTCGCTGGCTTTGCCTCTTCCCACTGCCTTGACAACGCCACTCACCTAGTGAGTGGCCCTGCTTGTTCTTTGTCCTTTGGGGGTGCTCCTGTCTTTCCCCTGGAGGTCCTAGAGACATTTCAAGCTTGGTTTCCTTGCGGCCGCTGTTCCTCATCTCTGCGCCATACTGCTTGCCCCTGAGGGGGATCCAGACGCCCTTGACATCCCGATCCTTCGCACACACGCTAAGGCGGTCTCGAGACCTTGGGCCTCGTACTGGATAGCAGATGAGGAGGCAGAGGTGGCATCTTATAGGTCCAAAGGCACCTACGTTGTCTTCTCTCCGCCGTCTGCCGATCCGTCGCTATTCGTCCGCCGTGGCTCGAACCTGTTCTTTGTTTTGGTCTACGTTGGCGACCTGTTCTTTGCCACTCCCGACCGACGCGCACTGGCCTCCGTGAAGAAGGAACTGCAGAGGAGACATACTCGCTGATCCACACCGCCCGTTCGAGCTGGTCATCGACGTAAGCGACATCGCCGTGGGAGCAGTAGTGTCGCAGGACTTCGGGAACGGCCTCCATCCAATCGCGTACGAGTCACCCGCCCGAACGCAACTACCCGATACACGACCGCGAGATGCTGGCGATCGTGCACGCGCTCAAAGTATGGCGATGCTACCTCACCGGAGCAGACGTGATAGTACGGACAGACCACGAATCACTACAGTACCTTCGCGCCAAGCCGAATCTCAATCCGCGACAGATTCGCTGGTTGGACTACTTGGAGTCCAACTTCTACTACACCGTCATGTACAAAAAAAGGGGCATCGAACATCGCCGACGCACTTACCCGCCCCATCGCCCAACTTCACGGCATTGTAGTGTAAGGAATTTGGTAGTGGAAGGGGGCTTCTTGAGGAGGAGGGGGGGGGGGGGGGGGGGGGGTAGGTAGTGTAAGGAATTTTCTCCACATTCCTTACCGCGACCATCAACATCGTGTACAGCAGCAGGCGTTGTTCGCCCGTTACTGCTAACGAGGCTTCGCCAACTTCGCGCGCACTGTTTCACCAAACCATGCACCGCTCGCCCGTTACTGCTAACGGGGCTTCGCCAACTTCGTCGCTCATCCTGTAATCCCCTAGATAAAAGACCCAAGGGTTTGTTATTGATTTCACAAAAAAATGTGGGGGGTCTTATTAAATTGTAAAAAAACTACAAGACCCGGTTCTTAGTATAAGTAATATGTTTTCTAAAATAAAATGAAATGCAAGGGTGTTGTAATGCAGATTTGGCGAGAAAGCGGGCACAATTCATGAAGCATCTGAATGCTTCTTGCTCATTGGCCCATATTCAATGGTAACCAGCATTACAGATTGGGGGCCAACCAACGTGTACCACGTCCAATGCTTTGTGTCAGACCGCCTTGGACGTCTCATCCCTTGCATGCTACGTGAAGCTCTCAGCACCGAGTCGCCCTTTCTATGTCACGTCTCGTGCACAAGCGAATTTGACACAGCCAGGGAACGGACCCACCTCCGTGCAATGGGGGGAGCAGCTCGGCAGAGTCTAGCATAGCGGGACTAGCACGATATATTAGATTCGGAGCTCGAAGATAGCCATGCATAGCATTAGGCGGAGAAATCTCCTCAGCATGGTGTCAACGCCCGATTCAGGCACGTCAGAGTCCCGCCGCCCTCGTGCAACAACCGTCCGTCAACCTACTCATGCTAGGACTACGCCGCGTCCAGTGCTGCCCACGCCAGTACCGTTTTCGAGTGAGACTTCTCAGAGCAGCCGTACCCCACGGGCCCCCCTTCCCACGGTCCGTGTCCCCGTATTTCCGCAGTCGTCACATCCTCAAGGCAAGAAGAAGAAGGTCCAGGATGCAGCGCCCCCCTCCTCGCCTCGCCACCGTATGACGAAGAAGGCGCGGCATGCGTACACGGCGAGGAAGAAACTATACTGGCTGGATATGCTAGATATGCAACCCAATCTCAGCATCCGGGTGTTGGCGCGGCTTGCTAACGTGCAACCGAAGCAGATTCGCGAATGGCGGAAATTGAAGGAGCGACTCCTTGTTTCAGCGGCGTGTCGTCGTCAGATCGTTGGCGCAGACTGTAAGGCCAAGTGGCCTTTCATGGAGCAGGCCATCAACCGTCAGTTTTTGGCGCATCGTGCCAAGGGACTGGCCGTCTCCGTGAGCATGCTTCAGAAGTGGTCGAAGCAGTACATGAAGCACCGACGCCTGCAGGCCGACTGGCACGGGTCTAACCGTTAGACTTTCCGCTTCCGCGTGCGGTGGTCCTTGGCAAAGCGTGTCAAGACAAAGATGGGGCAAAAGCTGGCTGATAGTGAATCCCTTTGCCTTGTTCCTTCATTTACCAGTGGAAACTGGTGTCGTACGTGTAATCGATGTGGTTCCACGACTAACAAATTCTATGTTCACTCTCCTCGCAGATTTTAAGGCCAAGGTCGAATCCTTCTGGGAGCTTGTTCAGTAGATGCAAGTCCTGAACTCCTACCCCACCAACCTGATCGTTAACGCCGATCAAACGCCGCTCTTCCTGGGGATGACCCAGGAACTCACATTGGAGATGAAGGGGGAGCGCACCGTACATGTCCGTACCACGGGTTACGAGAAGGAGCGCCTCACCGTTATGCTGGCGGTGACGGCGAGCGGCTTGAAGTTGCCACCGTATGTAGTGTTCAAGCGCAAGACAATCCCGAAGGTCGTCGTCCCGCGAGGGGAGTCATTATTGCCGTTGCGCATGTTACTCGTACCATTGTACATGCGACTGATGTAGTACATGCGATGTGCAGGAGTCGTAATCCGTGCGCAAGCACGGGGATGGATGGACGAGAACCTCGTCCAGGACTGGACTACCCAAGTTCTCGTCCCCTTCATGAGGCCCCTACTGGACGAGGGCGGCAGGCAGAAGGACGTCCTCCTCGTCCTTGACTCCTATAGAGGACATCTCACCGAGCGTGTCGGCCAGACGATGCGTCTCTTCAGGCTGACATACGCGGTGATCTCAGGCGTGTCGAATTATATATATGCTATATATGTTTAGGCTGTAGTGGGGTAGCCAATATGGGGTACAGCCCCTTCTAGGGTTTCATAGTTGTACCCAACACTTTCTTAGTTCATTCATTTTCCTGCCTAAGGAGAGGGTGATGTGGTGCTGCAGAGTCCGTATGGAGAGATGAGACTGGAGAATGTGCTGCTGGTTGAGGATTTAAAGGTGAACCTGGTCAGTCAGTCACAGCTTGATGACTTGGGGTGCAAGATATTCTATGACAGTGGCAAAGTTACAGTGTTTGGTCTTGAGTGGGAGAAGTATGCGGATGGTTATTTCAGTGACGGTTTCTATGAGATGAACTTGGTCGCGATGAACGATAAGGATGAGATCTATGAGGATCCTGAGTCTACTGAGGATGATGAAAGTGAGGACTCGGATGATATGGCTGCGAGTGTGGAGGCAGCAGTGAAGCAGGAAGAGGAGATAGTGATCACGGAGGCAGCAGCAGTAAACGATGGAGATGGAGACGATGTCAACACTTTTGTAGCAGCGATCGTGGTTGAAGATGAAGCAGTAAATGCGAAGTGTGTGGGAGTTGAAGCTGTGAAAGGGGACATCATGGTGAAAGGATCAAAGGCGAATGCAACTGCAAAGGGGCAAGTGCTTAAGGAGGATGAACGCGTTGAAGGGTACGAGACCCGAGAGGTGTTGGGTGGAAAGATGCCGAGGAGAAGCGAGAGGCATAAGAAAATCTCTCAAGGTTTGGATGTCAAGGCGCTCAACTTCAAGACACGTAAGCAGAGGTTCAAGGTGCAGGAGCTGCAGGGGAGCGTGAAGCCGACTTAGACCCTGTGAAGGCTACAAGGAGCAGGGAAGGAGTGCGAGTGGAGTTCGTGGTTGACGAACCACAGGGGAGATTGTTAGGGTTGGTTCGCCCAACCATGGAACCTATGGCGAAAGTCTCTACGACGGCGGAATGACGGCGAAATGGAAGCGCGTGGATGATTCTAGGTGAAACGGTGGAAATCGGCCTACGGCGTGAGAAGGGAGAGAGAAATCGAGAAGGAATGTGTGAGAAGGTGGAAGAAGCATCGAGATTGAAGTTGGCGAGGGGAAATTGTGGTTCGAGCTCGAGGCGTGTTCGAGAAGGTTCCAGATTCGGTCTTGAGGAGTGTTCACCGAATTCGGTTCGGTTGCGTGTGCGACTCGAGGTGAAACAAGGCGCACGCGGTTACTTGGGAAACAAGTGAAGTTACGAATCGCATTTTGTGTCTTGCTTGACTATAAAACTGCTTGTACTCATTCTGGAAATCACAACATTGATACCAATCAGATTCTGAAAATTGCTGAAGTGTGTATTGACAACTTCAAGCAGAGCTGCGCATATCATTGGATTCGGGAGATCGTGGAGAACACGATAAGCAATAGCAAGTAGACTATTGCCGACTAAGGCGTTTACGATCCTAAGACTCCCTTTCCCCAACATTCCCCCAAGAGGTCTTCTCCCCTGCCCAGTGCCAGGACCAAACTCGAGACTCCAAGCTCGTCCTACTAGTGGGGCGCGCATCGAACCGTGTGGAGAGAACGGCGAGATGCGGCGGAATATCGACCTTGCGGCTGGTGTTGGGGAAGAAAGGCGCCGCGCCTTCCGCGCAAATGAAGCCGACTGCTTCGAAACAGACTGCCTGAACGTAGCGACTCGGAGTCCCATCGGCGGCAATACTATATTGCACACGACAGAATGCATGCTGGCCACTAACGACACACGCCCCCACTCCTCGAATTTGTCGAGTAGGCGCCGCGCCTTCCGCGCCGCTGCTTCGAAAGACTGCCTGACTTCTAGCGACCCGGAGTCCATCAGCGGCAGCGATACCATTCCACACGACAAAAGGCGTGCTGGCCACTAACGACACACCACCACTCCCTCTCCTTTGTCGAGTAGTAGCATGACAGCTGGTATCTCCATCGACGACCAGTACTACAAACCGAATGCCATTCGGTGTGTGATTGGCTGCGTAGATTTCTCTATGACGGGGTTCTTGAGTCCCCCAGCCACCCAAACCGATTTTTCACATCAGCTCGGCTGGCAGTGCCCTATCACCGTGCGAGATCCATCAACCACAGAATCTAAACGGATTGAGATGCACTCGTGAAACGACACTACAAATACAGTAGTAGTGCTGTAAACATTGTCTTCTGTCTAGAAACAGAAGTCACGGTGGACGTTAGCGCCGCAAAATCCGAGTACACCCTCTCGCCTTCCACTGCCGGCGAGTGACAAAAAACTTGTGGGCGCGGCTCTGAGACAAACAGCCATGTTGGCGAAGCTACAGTACCCCGCACTGCCATACCTATCGCGACTCCGCGGAGGGGCCTAGTGTCGTGGGCTTTCGACAAATGTGCTGTAGTGGGAGGGAGGGAGCTCTCTCTGCTGAGAACGAAGGGAATTCTTTTCCGCGCAGGCTTATCGTGCAGAAAGCTCAGCTCACAGATAACTTCGAAACTGAGAAAAGGCCTGGGAAACTGCATGTCGCCAAATTTTATGGGATGGAAAGCATGACAGCATAGGTTGCATCTGTTTAGGGGAGCATTTCCTCGGGAAACTGATCAATGGATGGGTTTGGGGCCAGGTTGGGTAGAGCAATGTTGAACTAGAGGGTTGGAGGAGAGTCGTAAACTTTTTAAGAATATTGAATGTCCAGTTTCCAAGCAAGAATGCCCCACGATACGCAACGAGAAGCAGAGAACTAGGGGTGAATAGATTTCAAATTCTACTAAGTGACCATCAAGGGGCTAGATGCGTGTGGCGTTTGGGTGTGATATCACTGGGACAATCTTGCAAAACAATATAAGTTTTTCAAGGCTGAGACAAATATTTCCTTATCGAAATCAGGGCTCCTATTAGAAACACCAGTGTCTTTCAATCAAAACAGCGTGATTGCCCAGTTAGTCAATGGAAATGCCACAGAATTTTGGCGTGGAGTGGGGCATCCAGCGCTGCCGCAACTGTTGACGAGGCGGAGAGCCAGACAGAGGCTACACCTGGCGGGGAGGGGCATTGAGTTCCTTCGTCCCCACCCCACTCGATTCCGTGGCCCGCAAGCGAAGACGAATTCTTGGCTTGAACGAATTCTCGGTTCCTTACTGGCAGAAGTCAAGGTCCAGCGTTTTGGCGTGGAGTGGATGGTGCGGCGCTCCATTCTGCTGCCACAACTGCCGGGGATGCGGAGGGTGAGACAGGGAGTTTACTCATGCGCGCGCCGTTGAGCATGTTCATTTTCACCTGCGACAGCACTGCACCTGCGCCAGGTGGATGCTTTGTTTCACCCCCATTTTTCGTGAACTCCCCCTCTGACTTCGACAAAACATGCTATGTTTTGGCACAGCAGTGTCTAGCGCTTAGGACGCGTCACAATCAAAATATCGGGATTGCGAGAGTTCTCCGAACCTGGCGCATCGTTCGCCACATCGATGTGCCACGACTGTAATTTGGCAATCACCAAACTTTGAAAGGGACGCGGGCTGCGTTCTGCAGGCGCATCAGCTCTGATGCGTTTGAGGCTCGGCCTGATCCGCACATTGAGAAATTGAGGTTCGGAAATTGCAAATTGTAAGGCTGCGTTCTGCGGGCGCATTAGCCCGCATCAATGTACATTGCACTTTTTTTTTTCGATTTGCCAGGAGCCTTCCTTGATAACCAGCCGAAAGGTTATCAAGGCTCGCGATAAGCGCTTGGCTGCCGAGGCAAACCAAGCCCGAATGCCTGCAGAACGGTCTTTTTGGCAACCACAAATTTACATTTTGCCGCTTTCTGAGAAATTTATCGTCCTAGCAATCTGACGATCACTTGATGTGCGCATGATGCAACGCCGAGAAGACGCATGATGCGTCGAATTGGGCAATTGAACAGCGCGTCATGCGTGTGGGGAAAGCGTAAGGTGCGTGCTCCTCTGCTTCGAAGAACCTTCTGCACCCTAGAATTCCTCGGAAATTTGAGATTGAGATTTGACATGCCCGAAATTCGAAATCTCCAATTTCCGATTTCCCAAACCTCAATCTCCATTTTCCGAACCTCTATTTTTCAATTTCAAATTCCTCGTTCCCGAACCTCAATTTGTCAATGTGCGGATCAGGCCGAGCCTAGGGCGCATCAGAGCTGATGCGCCTACATAACGCAGCCTATATTGAGAAATTGAGGTTCGGACATTTGGAATTGAGGTTTGGAAAACTGACGATTTTCAGGAAATTGGACATTCAAGGCCCAGTTCGGCAGCCACGGAAGAAGGGCAAAAGAATTTTTTTTCCATCTTCTTCGAAGCTTCTATTCGCATTATCGAGGGCAAAACAGTACGGGCTCTAGGGTGAACTTTCCGGAAATCGAAACGCAGGTGTTTAGCAGCAGCGACGCGAACACCTCCAAACATTGCTTCCGCGCCGTCTTCTGTCCTTATTCTCCCCCCCTTGGCGGAAAGGTTCAGCCCTAGTGAGACGGAGAAGAAAGTGATTCTTTGAAAACAGAAGAATCAACTTTTTGATTCCACCTAGGTTCACTGTTCACAGGCCAACATTGGACCCTACAAAGGAAAGGGTTACTACATTAAAAAACACATTGTTCGATTTTTGAAAGTTGGATTTCTCCAACAGCATGGGGCGCAAATCTTTTGTTTTTTCTGGCGAACCTTTCTGTTCCCGCTACAGTGCCCTGGGGCAAGCACATTTGAGGCCAAATGTGCCTCTCTCCTGCGGCGCTTTTTCCCATCCCCCCCCCCCCCCCCCCCCCCTCCAATCTGCGCCAGCTCCCCCGTAGCGCAGGTCTTCCGCGGAACAGTCAACCCAGGGTCAAAATTCGTTGACCCTGGATTGACGCGGGCCTCACCTTCCCATACGGTAACCTTCCTACAAAATTGCTCCCCCCTGGCTGCCGAACTGGGCCCAAATTTCTGACGAATTTCAACATTCTGAATGTTACAGGTTTCTTGGAAGTGTCTCAGAAGTCAAATGTCGCCGATATTTGGATGTGTCAAACTGATTGGCCAATGAGGTTGCAGCGCATCAGCTGATGCGCGCATGATGCAATTTTCCGAAGTCTCACGAAGCGCGCATTAGTGATGCGCCCGATAGCTAGGAGAGAAAGCTTTTTGGAACACGGCCACATTTCAAATTTCGTAAGCAAGAAGGTCTTACTGCAGGAATTCGGGTGTGTTCTGCTTCGGCAGCAATGCAGGGATTGAGCCCCAGCCATCCGCATAACTAATGAAATGGAAACCTATGCTACCTGCACACGAAAATCATGTCAGTAGATCTGCACTGTGGATGCCCGATTGATCCTAGGGGGGTTACAGGCGCGTTCGCCAAGGGGGTTATGGGCGCACTCTGACCCACTACTTAACAAGCCCTTTTATCCCAATGGTCTAGTGGTTGGGATTCTGACATGGTATCAGAGGGAAGGTCTCGCGTTCGAATCCCAGTGTGTGCACTTCGGGCATCCCAGTGCGGGGGGGTGTCTGAGTTCCACTGGTGATCCCCGATTGATCCTAGAGAAGGGTTACATGCTCGTTGTCCTGGGGGGATATGGGCGCACTGACCCGCTACTCAATAAGCCCGTTTATCCCAATGGTCTAGTGGTTGGGATTCTGACATAGTATCAGAGCGAAGGTCTCGGGTTCGAATCCCAGTGTGTGCACCTCGGGCATCCCAGTGCGGGGGGGTGTCAGAGGTCCACTGGTGATCCCCGATTGATCCTAGGGAAGGGTTACAGGCATGTTGGCCTGGGGGGTTATGGGCGCACTGACCCGTTACTTAACAAGCCCTTTTATCCCAATGGTCTAGTGGTTGGGATTCTGACATGTTATCAGAGCGAAGGTCTCGGGTTCGAATCCCAGTGTGTGCACTTCGGGCATCCCAGTGCGGGGGGGTGTCTGAGTTCCACTGGTGATCCCCGATTGATCCTAGAGAAGGGTTACAGGCTCGTTGTCCTGGGGGGTTATGGGCGCACTGACCCGCTACTCAATAAGCCCGTTTATCCCAATGGTCTAGTGGTTGGGATTCTGACAAATCAGTTGTGTCAAAAATGTTTATATGTCACAGACGGACCTCAAATTTCTATCTGAAAATCAGACGGGGCAGAATCGTTCGTATGACGCTAAGACGAAATGAAAATCTAAAAAAAAAAAAACGTCAGATGGGCCAAAAACTTAGCAAGACCCCTGTGTGAGAATAATAACGAGGAATGAATGCAACTAGGAAGCAGGTGGGTACAAATATGAAAACCTAAAAGAGTTGTACCCCATATTGTCAACCCCACTACAGCCTACAATATGGTTCTGACACACCCTCATAGGCAAAGTGGGGGGCAAGCAAGAGAACAAGACAAGGTCAAGCTCAGGGTGGATCACAACGTCACCACACATTCTGAGCACAAGCTCAAGGCCAAAAGGCCAGTTCACATGCAGGATTATAAATCAAAGTGAACAAGCAAGACAATGATCGCAGCCTAACAAAGGTAACCATGCACGCGCAGGTGTATATAGATCACTGTACAAGCAAAGTCAAGAGGTAAGCAAGTGAGGCCAAGTAGGCACAAGACCTAGCATAGTGCAGAAACGCTGATAATCACAAGGCTGAAGTGCCTTGGTGAAGATATCAGTAGTGTTGGACCGAGAGGCCACGTAAGCAAAACAAAGTTGACC